ACAGGCTGCTTTTTCATGGTATACAGTGTGATAATTATAATCAATAAATTATCTCAACATTTAGTGGCAAACCATTCATAAATTTTGGTAACATACAAAAAATTCTATAATCCACATTAAATTTCATATGTAAGCGCCGATTGAAACAATTTTTTCAACGTAACTACAAGGGTGGTTGATTAAACGAAAGAAACGAATCGTGCAAAATGAAAGCCGAGGAAAAACTAACTGCACCAATATATGCAGGCCTACAATTCCACACCTTCTTAGACAGGTTGAGCCTTGATAGCCAGCTGCTTGCGGGAACTGATGAGCTTGACCAATGTCCAAATAATACTCTTTAACAAATTTTTGGTGGCCCTGAAAAGGACCGTTTTGTAGTGATGGTTGAGTAATTCTGATCTGGGTGTTCAACACGGATGAGGCTGTCGAGCTGTATGTCGTTTGGAGCGAGGGTGAAACGCATGGCATAGATGACCGACCCGCAGTGACTCACGAAGAGCTACTGATTCCGATCCATAGCATAGTGGTGCAGCTTCTTCCTCCTTTGATGGTTGCTTATGTGGGCTCTGCAGCTTGCTGCTTGCAGGCAGCTTTTCGTTGTTACTGGAGAACAATTTTCAACGCCACACGCCGAAAGCACTGCTACTGCTGCTACTGCTGCTACTAATTTCGACGAACGAACACCTCCACACAGTGGTGTTGTCGTTGGGAGCGTGTGGTTCTGAGTATGGCGATGAGTGTGCAAAATATTACGCGATTCCATCATCCCTATTCGCACGCGCCCGAGGATCGGAGGCGAATGCCACTTCGACTTGTTTCGTCTAATTACTAGTCTCTGACGACTGTGCTGGGGAAGCAGCATATGCAAGTAGGTAACTGGTGGATTTGTTAGTTAATTCGACGCTTTTGGACAATGCTGGACATTTACCAGTTTTTCAATAGTTTCTTGTTGAAAATCAACATTCGGAATGGATTGTTATCGATGCGAAGCCATATTTCTGATCGATTGGTGATAACATTATTGAAATTGGACCAGGGGCAGTTGAGTTATTAACGTTAAAAATCTTTCTTAATTTGTTACATGTTCCATTTTCGGTTTTCACAAAGTGTACCCTTATATAGAAATCAAAGACGTAGTCCTACGTCAAAAAAAAAACTATTTTGTTCATTTTTAAAGTAGTTAACGGTTTTCTGCCTCGATATTTGTGTGATCGAATTGAAAGAGGAAGTGACTTTCATAGATATAATACTAGAAACGCGGTTGAAATAAGAACTCCACATTTCTTGACTTGTGCTTCATTATATTTTAAAGGAATAAATGTTTTCAATTCGATGCCTAGACGTTTTTAATGTTCAGCAACACTTACACAATTTAAAAGGCGCTGCATTTCACACGTTAAATCTGTCGTTTGAATAGTTATCCAGTGATTTATTTTTATGAATTGACAAATTATGTATCTTGACGAAGTTACGGATTATTTTGTATGGATAGCTGTCATAATGACTTTTTAATAATTATTGTAGCACTGCAAAAACTATTTTATTCGCCACGGTGGTGATGATGGATTTTTAATGTTTGATTTAATAGTAGTAGATTAATTAAAAAAAAAAGTAGTCTACAAAGGTTTGAGCCTCGCGCGCGTATTACGGATATAGAGGACTGAATTTAACATTTGATTTTGAAGCATATTTGGAATTTTGAAGCATATTTGGAAGATACCTTGAGTTAGTAGTAAGTTTACTGGCAAATGTTGGGGGTTCGTGAGCATTCCTGACATTGCTGAAAATTATGATAGCATCAGATTGCGGGGTTACTAGTGTAATAGGATGCTTTGTTGATTGTTCATTAACTCTTGATTGCTTGTAATACTTATGAATATTTTAGGTGGACAAAAAGGCGAACTAAGAGGTGGACGCCTGAGCTTTTCCACATTTATATCGCTGTGAAGCAACTGTAAACTCTAGAGGGAATTTATATCTGTAACTGAAACCAGTTCGATTTTGTTTGCCAACCTGGTTAAAATGTCATATTTAATTATCTTAAAGATAAATCGTCCAGCTCAAACCTTTGTAGGGGTAAGAGGTGGGACCATCATCATCATCATCATCATCATCAACACTATTTCAAATTGTGACTGCGCATTTGTGACCCTTTTCCTATCTTTTGAATAGCAAATGTTTATGAAAAGTATATCCTTCTTCAAGCATTGACCATGTGTCACTTCAATAGTCGGACCCTGTAGTGCAAAAGTAGTATGAAAACCAGTAGTTTTTTTTTAATTATGAATAGGTTTGAAATATCCCATATCCCAGCCCAGCAGGCAAGGGAAGTTGTTGTCTCCGGTAATCTTGTCCATGTGAGCTTCTTGTATAGACTATATCTTGGGATACAGTTCATCTAGAAAGTTAATCATTAGCAAAGTTCTTCATGAAGTCGTTCTGGGTATTTTTGGAACGGAGACGGTGTGTACAGGACGAAAATCGGTATCGGTATTAATCGTAAACTGTGATCTTATTCAAGTCTTAGATCGTATAATTCATGAAACAGTAATCTAAAAAATGAGAATGGTTAAAATTTCTGGAGTATTCCTACGAAATTCAGAAAACTAATATCAATTACATTACTCAGCTCTGTGTAAACTGTTGAGATAATTCCTTGCTTGGTAAACATTCAAACGTCTACACGCAGCTAACTCATCTTCAAAATGTCAAGTGCACCGAGTGCAACCATACTACACGCTCGCTCCTATCTCAAGTATCAGATTATTTTTGCTTTCACCATGGTGCACCCAGTTGCACTACTGTTGATACTGGTACTGGCTGCTGCAGCCGCTGTCGTGCGCCATCGCATGGCGGCTAAAATTAGTATTTTTTGGTCGGAAACCAAAGCCAAAAGCTGGTGTTGTTAGCTGTTGAACTTTGGCCGGCAAGTCTCCGAGCCGAAAATGACGAAATGCAATATTGTTGCATCCCGTTGCAAGATGTTATAATCCATTACCACATTGGGAACGGTAAATGATTTGAAACGTTAGAGGACTTCTATTCAGAGGCCGCATCTTGGAAACTGAAATTTGGCACTATTGTGACTTTCTTTATCATTTAAAAATGTGTCAATCAACACCGACGATCACGAACGCCAATGTGAAAAGGTATGACATTTGACAGGTTTTATAAAACAAAAAAAACAGGACCACGTCCCTACAATTCCTCAAACCGAAGTCGGAAAATGAGCCGTTGGTCGACGCATGTTCATAAAAGCGATACCGATGGATGCAGTTCTCCTATAGGTACGTGAGCAAATCAGCAACACCACATGGACGGCAAGCAATGGCAGCACTGCGCTTGAATACCCCCGCCGCGAAACCACGGTGACAAAAATAGCTTTAATTATTGCAAAAACAACACAGGAGAAACAAACACATCTGTCAGCAGCCACAGCGTCCCATCTAAACACCTCCCCCCCTACCCGATGTCTATTGGACGATACGACAGGATGGCAAGAGCACAAAAGCTGTTACATCAGCGAGAGTGGCACTTCATAAGATATGATAGAAATAATGATGCTCAGGCTGTCGTTCGTTGGTCGTCCGAGAATATCTATCTGATCGTTGGATTGAAAAAAAATAATGCTGTCTTGTTTAGTGAACTAAGTTTCGCATAAGAGACTGGGACACGAGGATAGAGAGTTTCAAGTTACTTTCGAACGGAGATAATTTTGATCCGTTCATTCAAAGGATCCATGACCGGACCGGGAATCGAACCCATCTGCTGCAGCAGGGTCTTGCTTACCAGCTGCACCTTTCCCAACTGAGGCCGTTTTATCTAAGACATCTCGCACAATACGAGAAAAGGGCCTATCACTGTTGATCGATTCTCTTCATCGATTTTCTCTTTCGCGAATAACCCGACTGCAAATGAGTGTGTTGTTTCAGGCGCAAGCTATCATCATCTTCTGTCGAACTATGCTAAGAGCTTAGCGAGAAATTAGTTTATGTTGCCGTTGTGAACCGAAGAGAATCGACCTACGAGGATAAACCCTTTTCAAATGTTACGAGAGATCTAACATTTTAAATTGTCAATAACCTAATGTCTAGAAAATTTTGTGCAACTTGAATAAAATAAAATGAGGTGACAGTCATTTGTAATTTACAAAATTACAGGGTCAGATTTATTTATTTGAAATCTTAGGCTTCTAAACTTTTCGAGATGCTGATCGGAATACCAACAAAACAAAAATTTCGATGAATTACAGACAGTTCAAATGAACTCATTTGAACTGTCCTCTACAAAACACACAACAAAAATCGGGCGACTACGGTGGGCTGGGCACGTCGTAAGAATGTCGGACGACGACAAAGATGAAAATGGTTTTTGATAGCGACACGACTGGAACAAGACGAAGCATGCAAGGTGGATCGACCAGGTGGAAGGCGATCTGCAGACCCTCCGTAGACGGCGTGGCTGGCAACTTGCAGCTAGGGGCTGCTCATAAACCACGTAAGCACATTATGGTTGGTGAAAGTCTACGATCCATACAAATTTTCAAAAGTTGGTATGGACGTAAGGGTGAACTGAGGATAGGTCCAAGTGAATCACGAGGGAATTCTTATATAGAATAAGTAATTTTCATGGGATTCGAGGATCGCCCCATTCCTCGTTTAGATTTATAAGCTAGCATGGAATCTGGATCAAGCAGGTATGGGCCACGTAGGTTTGTCAATGTTGGAACTATAGTAGGTCTCCAACTCCATTCTGTATTTCCCGTGAGTGGAAAAAAACAAACCGGCTTGGTCCGGTTGATTGGCAGTTGCCACTGTAGAATAAAAATACCGATTGAGCAACAACGCGTTGGCTCCTGGCCATCACCATCATCGGCTGAGAGTAGCACCTCCGAGATGGATTGAATCGAGTTGACCAGCTGTTGGCATTCCGTTTCGTGTTTACATGTATGCGTAGGTAGCTGTGTTGTTTACAAAAAGATTTATTGTCCCTCCTACCTTGGCTTAGCCGGAGCGGCGGCTCCTCTGCCACCTTCGGCTTTCAGAAAATCAAGGGTCGTATTTTTCACGTTCGTCGTGGTGGTGGTGGTGGGTTTCGGTTTCTGATTTTCTACAATGATGAAGCTGTCCTCGTTGCTGCTGGGCAGTTCCACTACGGTGGGCGCAGCGGGCAGAAGTGAGCGCAAACTATCGTCCTCGGACACCTTAGCCGGCACGACAGCCGCAATCGGTGCTGCCGGTTTGGCTGGTTCGGTCACCTTTGATTGACCGTTGGTGGTTGGTTCCTGTGGTTTGACTGGTTTGGGAGCAGGCGCCGGTTGCACCTTGGGAACTTGTTCCGGTTTCGGTTGCGGTTTTACTTCGACTGCCGGGGGAATTTCCACTTTTGGCTTCGTTGGTTCAACAGGTTTAACAGCTGGAGCCTCCGGGGCAGGTTTAACGATGGGTTTTTCTACCGGTTTCGGTGAAGGCACAGGAGTGGCCTTGGGCGGAACTGGCGTGTCCTTGGGTGGTATCACCGGTTCAGGCTTGGAGGAAACATCTCCTTCGGCCGGATTGGTACCCTCGGGATTCTCCGGTTCAATCTCCGGATGCTGCTGATTCGATACCGCTTTGCCAGTGAAAAACGTAATAATTCGGTCTAAGAAACTAAAACGTTTTCTGGAAAGGAAGGAAACAAAAGGGAACTCATAAGAAATGAAAATAAAAGGAACATACGAATAATTCACAGAATAATTTGCTTCAAGCTGGCTGGCGCGATGCGGCAATGGGAATTAGAATGCGATGAAAAGTTAATCAAAGTAATAATAAAAAATAAGAATAACGAATGATAAAATCATAATGGCAATGGTAATCAGCATTGGCAGCAATTCTACGGCTAGATATAGACGTCAATTTTTACTCTTACAGTTATCTCAGAATCCAAACATCTTCTCTGCGCCTGTAGAAATATTACTATATATAAACTATTATCGTATCGATTTTCTACGTTCCCCCACATCGCTTCTTTTCACGCGCTTTTCGCTCAGTGGGGGTTGGCGAATATCAGGTTGAGAATCGGTGTACTAATTCCAAAGTATATCTATCTTTAATCCAGCGGAAGCATTTGGGTTCGGAATGCTATTACATCTAAATCAGTCTACTGATATTATACTAATAAACCATGCGAACACGTTTGCTATACACATGACCAGACATCATCGTCTGTTCTGCTAGACGATACAGTCAAACTAGTGTAATACTGAACGTATTGGCTAATCCCTACTGATAGGAACAAGGGCTTGTTAACACGGTTCTTTCCACTAGAGAAAAGCTGCCAATACTCGAACAACTGTTACCTAACACCGCATATCTATACATGCAGAATTGATTTGCGAGGCTAATGGCACACCACAATCCACCGAATCGAACGAATAATAAGATAAGAGGCACCTCTTTATACTCTGACTTCATCAGACATTGTCACAGCTCGTTATCACCGTTCCAGTAGTTGTTGTTTGCCCATTTATTTTCTGCCTCGAACTTGACATCACTGACGATGGAGCTCATGACCGTTTGAGTGGGTGACGAACAATCGTAGAACGACTTTTATTTGCCATATCGCATAAAAGGCGATGCATCTCTGATGCGAGCTCACCGCGCCCCGCCATCACGTGCTGCGACGAAATGGGATCTCGTCGTCATGATCAGATGTCGCACTTTCGGCTACACTCAAAAAATTCCACACGTCATCATCATGTGTATCACACTTAATTTTGCGCATATTGTGAAACACATCCATTTCATGTGTGAATCTTATGCTATGAACCATGCCTGAACACTATGGATTTGAATTGTGACACACTTGGATTCTATGTGCCTCATATGGTGATATCAATAGCTTTGCACACCATAGGTTAATATTCTACAATATTCTACTTTATCGAATTCTACTTTACCGACTCTTAAAATGAATCGACAAATATATAAACAAAACTGCCAGAGGCCAGAGCTTTCACATATATTTTTAATGGGTCTGATTTGGGATTCGATCATGGACTGTTGGGGTATGCTGCTGCCGGAGTCTTCGTTCGATCTCACTGTGCCACGGTTGTTCTCATATATGAGGCAGGTGTTGATAGGATAAAGTCACAACTCTTGTTATCGATGTTTACCTTTCTGAGCAAGCAATTCACATCGTATTGAAATGCAAAACACGTTAAATCCATCTGTTTTGAACAGTAGCGTGAATCAATGTGCAATACACTTGAATAGATAGTGAAAGATTTTCAACATTTCAAAGTTTGAAACACTATAAATTAACGTGTATAACACATTGAACCAAGGTGAAATACACTTAAAGTAAATGTGATTGTGCATTTAGAAAATCAAGTGTTTAAACACTTTGATCAAACGTGTGAAATTTTTTGAGTGTACGTGAGATTCGCTGTGTGTTGGGTTTAGAGGTGGTTATGAGCCTTTTTTTTAACAGACAAATGTAACTATGGAAACGACATTTTTTCCCATTTCACAAATTCTATGACATTTACCAGCTATGGATTGGGGTTTCTAACAGTTTTTCAAACATAACTGTCAAAATGCACCCAAAAATACTGGAACAAAAGTGGATTCTCATAGAAATAAAATTTTCTTGCAAACATGCAATTTTGTGAGCTTTCAAGATTTGTTACCTATCTTGTTTTTTTTTCAATTTGTATTTTTGGTTAGACTCCACTGAGAAAAAAAAAACTTTACCGAGCCGAAAGCCTTTAAATCAATACAGACCTAAGAAGTAGACCTGTGCGCCGATCAAAATCTTTTCGGCGGCGGCGTGTACGTTATTTTCTGCCGGCGGTGGCGGCGTGGCGGCGTCACGCCGTTTGCTTTCGGTGGCGGTGGCGTAGCGGCTTGGGTCGGCGTGAATTTATTTTTAATGATTTAGAAAAAAATACTTCAGATTACTCAAAATCGCTAAAACATAGGTCACTCATAGTTTGAGTAAATTTTCCGATACTTTCCCGGGGAAAACTTCTCGAATATGGGGAAAATAAAAAAAAATGTACACAGATTAGAAGTGTACTAGTAGACAGGCTAAAACCACAATCAGTTTTTGTCATATTCGAGAAGTTTTTCTCGGAAAATCGTTCTATGAGTGACATACGTTTTCGTGAATTTGAGTTACCTGAACTCAAATATGAGTAGCTTTTACTCAATTTTGAGTCATTCTCATTGGCCGTGCATACGGAATTTGTTTAGAAAAGTATGTACAACAATCAATACGAAACTAACGATTTTAAATTGGCACACTACTTGACTAGCCTATTGGTACCAAGCAAATCGATTAACGTACCCCATTCTAGTCAAAATTCTAGTACTACACTATGTTTGTTTAGATTCGCTATGAAAGTTTGACAGATAAAATGAGGGGTTAGTGGATTTTCCTATGTTTCGAGGGGTGAATCGATTAGCTTGGGTCCGAAGATAGTACCAGAGCTGAGCACGTTTCTTCGAGACCTTTTGGTCTTAGAGTTACGTCTACGGTATGTATGCGCTTGGCATGTTAAGATTGCAGGGGATGGAGTCGTACACTCAAAATAATTGTCACGTCAAAGTTACGTGAAAAATCACGTAGATCTAAAAAAGTATTGTTTGTTGTGAGGCTACCTGACACAAGTAGAATTTAGTTGTTAGCATCTGATTTTTATCTGAAACACATTTCACATCCACCTTATTAACCGATAACATTGTGACCGACGACTTTCAGGTCACAATAAATTGTTTGGTGGAAAGGCCAGTTGGAGGTTTAGACACACTGAAAAATTGTAAATCTTTATGTTTTGTGTCGTCTAAGATTTCCCTGGTGCTCGAATGTCAAATAAAATACAAAAGAGGCCTGACTCTATTCGACCGCCCCTTTTTATAGCAGTCGATGAGTCAGCGCAATTGAAGCGACCCCATCATGATTATCATCACAACACACACAAAGATGACGACGATGACGATGAATCGCGATGATGAACGAATGATGACAGGAGCGATGACGGAACGATGACAGGCGTGATGACGGTACGAAAACTTACACACTAAAATGGTTTCGGTTGGTATCATAAACAAACTACTCATTTACTCCGACAAAGTGGCTGCATGCATAGCCTTAACAAATTCAAAATCACACTTGCTTCCGCAAATAAATAAAAAAATATGAAAAATATTGAATAAATAAATAAATAAATGAATAAATAAATAAATAAATAAATAAATAAATAAATAAATGAATAAGTAAATAAATAAGTAAATAAATAAATAAATAAATAAATAAATAAATAAATAAATAAATAAATAAATAAATAAATAAATAAAAAATCTAATATTTACAGCCGGTGTAACAACAAAAATCAAAACAAATATTTTAATACACGGGATACCAACCAGGAAGTCTACAATTAACAGTTTTTTCAGAGGTCAGAGGGACCTCCTTCTAAGCCTCTGGTAACTGGTAACGCGGTCACCGTCTGAGGTGGGCATTACATGTGCCATCTTTTAAATGTACAGTTAATTATACACACCCTTAAACTACAAAATGAAAAATAATCGTCACTCAAACACTATACAAAGCGGAGACAGACATTTATTTGACATTCGAGCACCAGGGAAGACAAGTGACGGTTGTGCGAGTTAGCACGTTAAAAACTAACCGTAGTAGTTCCGCGTAAGTTTGCGCTTAAGTATAGATTAAAATTGAAAATCTAAATCTTAAAACTTACAAATTATAGTAATAAAAAACAGCGATAACACCACACAACTTAAAAGCTTTAAAACAATTAATTAGTGCGGGTCAATTGTGGAAATCACCACGAACGGCTAAGAAAGTGCACCCCAAATATAAGACGTTAGTCTTAGCCGCGTTATACCACATTGACCGTTAACGTGCGAATAGATCAAGCGAGCTAGTGGTGAACATTAAAAAAAAACTGCAGTTGAAGTGAACAATGTACAGTGGTCGAGCGGACAGTGAAAATAGTGGTATTGCGTAAAGACTGTGACTGTCCGTCTCACAAATGGTGGTGCAGCTCGCTTGATGACCACTTAAGAAGAACAGTGTATACACGAACTGTACCACTCCCCGGACACGGAACTCTGGCCCACATTATGAGAGCCTTACCGTCACGCTAGTGATTCCCTTGTTAAGAGTGGGAACAGTGAAGCTCAGAAGTACCCCAAAGACGAAGAAGAAGAAGAAGAAGAAGAATAATGATTTCGTGAAGAAGCGTTCCGGAGATCAACGAAGTCCCAGCCACTTCCAGATGTTCCAGAGCAGATCAACAATCGGCCGCAACGGTGAGCTCACAGCATGGTTTTAAATAAAAGGTTAACCTACAAAAAATACTCGATAATTTCTCTTTAAAAATTTTATTAAAATGTCTGGCCTTCTAAACCTCAACTGATTATATGTTCTAATTTTTGTTTGTAAAGAAAATCTTGTTTTCCGCCATCTTCTTTGTAAATTCCGCCTTTCCACCAATATTGGGATGAAAGTTTGCCCCATTGCAATTTCTCCTGGATATCAATTGTATATACGACCATGAATGGCAAGGTAGGCAAAGCACCTCTTACACGCCGCAACCATACAAAGTAGTAACTATCAACATTTACGTGAAAATCACGTACGTTGGGAACATCAT